ATTTCAAATTTATATTATATTTTTTCATAGTTAATTAGTTTAATTAGGGGTAGTATTGAAAAAATATAATTAATACTCCCACCAGCTACACACCTTATATTAAGAACAAAAAATTTATTCTAGAAAGCATCCTTTAATAGGAACTAGAAGTGTTATTATTCTATTGAAAGTTTGAAGTATAATCAAACACTAAATGTAAATGCTTCTTTCGATGAGGTTAGATTTGAACATCAAGTTTTTGTCACATCTTGCAAAGAACTAATTCTTTTCATTAAATCTAACCCTGTTGGTAATGATGATTAAAAATCACATTAAAAACTATAATTTTTTTCAATTACCAACTACATTTTTAGCCCAAAAAATCACATTTTCATAGTGGCCACTCTTTAAAAAATGGTTCCAACCTACTAACTGAGCACTGGATACCTTCAATTTCTTGCCAATTTTTGTCTAAATTAAACAAGGATTTTATGCTTCGGTTGGCGTATATTTTAATAAATTTTGAATTAAATTAATCAATTATAATTGAAAATCGTGGATTCAAAATTAAACGAATCATGTGGGAAACATCAACAAGATTTAGATAATTTAAAATTAAAAATAAAAAAGCGTGGACCGGATCTTTTGCCAAACACAGTATTCCGTGAAAAGAAAAGAGCTTTAATTATTCATGTGACACAGATCAAATCAATCTTTAATGGTGCTTAACCCCTTAACATTTGGGGTCACGACAAGCTACAGAGTGGGAACTCGAGAGTTAAAGTTGAAATAGCGGATGGACATGACTAATAGAATGACTTGTGGGGTCATTTTCGGAATGAACGAGTCAGCAAGCAAGCCTTTGGAAGTTGGAACTGAACTCTATCGAAATTCAAGATCTTTGTTAAACGGTTGGATTGAATATGATAACTAATTAATAATCAACGGCTGATAGAGATTTATTCGCGTGGACTTTTTAGCCCCTTTCAACGTACCGTCTTTCACTCAAACTCCTCTTCGCCCTACTTTCTGCCTTTCACACTACATTTTTTCGTCTCACTCATGGACTGATAAGTACGTATTCAATACTTAAATATGTATAAATTTTGAGTTACATTTAATTAAATTTAAAAATATTTTTACATATTCAATTAATTTATATATATCTTTTCCCTTACACTCAATTATAGGATAAAATTTTTTGTTACAAAATCTATTCATACTTTTTTTTACTGGAAAAATCATAAAAGAATAGGAAAAAAAGGAAATCACAAAAAAAAAAAAAGAACGAAAATGGCGTGGGTCCCGCGATTGAAGGAAGGATTGATATCAGAAAAGGGCCCAAGCCCCGCGGAGTTTTTTTTTTTTTAATAGACAATAAAATTTTAAATCACCAAATTATAATAATACTCATATACACCAGCAACAACGTACTCATTTGGATTGAAGTTGAACAAATGAGATTATATATAATCATGATTTTTTAAAAGTGATGTTGATAAGCTATAATTTTGTTTTGGATACTTTTTTTCAAAAAGTGGTTATGAGAAAATTAGTTATGTTTGGATTGTATTCATCAAAATCAAGTTTGGAAATATAATTACATAAAAGGTATGATTTTAATTTATAAATTTGTTGAATTTTATATGATCTAATCATGATTTTCTGAATACAGAAGCACTTCCTAATAGTTTCTACTCAACGTGCAATGAACAATTCAAATCATGATTGATATGGGTTTTCATAAAATTATCCAAACAAACAATTCAAATTAGCCTCATAATCACTTATATGGGCTTAAGTTGATGAGATTATATAAGTTTTCATTGCTAAAATAAATAGGAACAACATAGTTCTAGAAATTTGGCCAAACTCAATGGTCAAATGTAGTTTGAAAAATTGTAGTGCTGCACTTAGAAGCCTATAAAGTTTTATTTACTTTAAATCTATTTGGATGTCCTAAATAGGCTTAAAAAACTTAAATAAACTTAACTTGAACATCCAAATTATTTTTATTATCAATAAAATAATTAAAATTAATCTTCACTCTAACTTTCACTTAACACTTACAAATTTTTTCCTAAATTTTAATTTACACATTTCTCACACTTAAACGAGGTTTTAATTTTCTAATAAATGTTTGTTTTGAATATTTATTAAATCTATTAAGGAAAAATAAATACAAGGAGTTACTTTATGTGTTGTTATTTTTTCACTCTTTCAATGCTTGGTCTTATTTTAATAAGAATGGAAAAAATGGTGCGTTATAGTGTCTTGTAAATCTTAACTTTTAGAGTAAAATACTGTGAGCTCTCTTTTATTTTTCTAAAATTACATATATTTCCTCTCTATTTTGAAAACCTATATTGTAGTCCAAATTTTAATACCATTAGAAATATTCCGTCAAAAATTCTAAAATACTTAATTTTTTATTTGTAATTATGTTAAAAGTTTTAAATTACCACTTTGCCCTCATAATCTGATTGTCTATTCTCTCTTTCAATTTTAAAAATGTAAATCATTAAGCATGTGGATACCTAAACAAATAATTTATTTTTTCTTAAAATTAATGAAATTAAAAATAAACACAAATAATATTAAGTAATTTATTATATTAAACTTTTATTTTATTTTTGGCCCAAAAATTCTTATTTCATTAAAATTTTTAATTGCGTGTTTGAAATATGATCGCTTTGAGTTTTAACCAATTTATGTATTTAATGTTTTTTAAAACATTAAATAAATATGTTTACAAAATGAAAAAAATTAAAATATAAATATAAAAAGTAAAAAAATACATGCATTACTTTTTTTGGTAATTTGAATGAGTTATATAAAAATAATTATATTTAAAGAGGGGATATTTTGGTCCAGTGTATATAATTTAATGGTTGACTAATAATTGAGTGGATGGAAATAAAATCTTAAAAATAAAGGAAACGTTTGTATTTTGTGGCTGTTCATGATAGAAGAGATTCATATATGTCTTTAAAATAGAATTATGTAATTAAAGTAAAATAAAAGAGATATCAAAGTATTTTACTCTAATTTTTAAGATAAAAATTAAAATTAACCAAAAAAAATAAAATAATATTTAAAAATTTGAATATTTAGATCAACTCGAATAAATTAAGCTCGATGTATTAGGGTCACTCTTAATTATATAAATTTTTTATATATTTAAATATTTTAAATTTAATTTAAGTAAGCTTAGCTTGAATTGAATCTACTGCACTTAAATTACTCTCGCAACTACAACATGCACTCAAATTGTGTCCTATATCAAGGTTGGGGGGGGGGGGTCAAGTTGGGTCCATGATGCAGAGAAATGCTTTCAACCGCGTTATGCATTGTATATATAAACTTTTATGACAGCTCTTGAGAACTTTTTTGTTTTGTTTTGGGGGTCTAGCCCTTGAGAACGTATTTACAAAAGGGTTAGTATGATAAGAAAATCGTATGAAATATGAATGTGGTCACATCCGTCGTTATAAATAATTGAGAGAATGACAATAAAATCTTAAAAAAAGAATTAATAACAGTTAAGTGCTTGATAATTTTTTTTAAAAAAATAAGTTATAAATATGGATTCAGATAACTGAAAATTGGAATTACAATTGAGGATCGAGAGCTATATTTAAAATTTAAATATTTATTTTTTATTGAAACTCTTAAATTTTAAATTGTTCGAATCAATATTTACAATTGTTCTCCTTAAATATTTTGTCGTGTAGGGTATTTTAAAAAATAAAGGAAATTTTGAGATTTACACATAAATGAAATAAACCCTGTAAACTTTCATTTATTTGTGCCACTTTTTTTTTTTTTGAGAGGGAAAATTGGGAAGAAATACCAATCAACAAATTAATTGGAAAAAAGGGCCAAAGTTGCCTAGTAAGAAAGAAAAATTGCAGAAAATTAAAGACTAAATGCAGATCACACATTAATGAGTCGGACTGAGCTGCAGGAAAATACCATTCAATTCAATTCAGTTACATATTAATAAGTTGAGCTCAGCTTGAAAGCAAATTCTGCAGATCCCCAGTTTCCAGGATTATCTATCCCCCGCCTCCAATATTATTTTCAAAAAGAATTGAATTCAATTCAACTAATAATCCGATCATCACAATCTAATCTAAGCTCATCTATACTAATCATGTTGAAACTTATTTAAACCGTTTTCTGTTTCCTTTTTCTCTTCATAATTAAGAATATTACTTCTGATATTTATGCATTCAATTACATGTAACATAGTGTCATCGGCATTTTTTTCCAAAGCACCCTAGTAGTTCATATGTCCCAGGCAAGATTATATACTTTCTTGTTTCTTTAGTAACTCAATAACTTGACAGTGGAACTAATGACTTTGCATTTCCTTTAATTAATTTTCAGCATTGCATCACTTTAGTATTGTGATGAGTGACTAATCGTTTCTCCTTTCTGCCATTTTTCTTTCTTGTATATATATACTTTACAAAAGAACTGAGTTAATTAAGAATAAAATTTGCTCATAAAATGTCTGCTATCTATTTGTCTTCTGCCACATAATATAATTAAGGAGCAGAAGGCTTCAGATAACAGATACATAATGACCAAAGCAATAACTTTACACACACACACACACACACTGCATCTATAATATATGGTAAATACTAAAATAATTTCCAAAAAGATACTCAAATAATCACAACACTATATGTCTTCAACTGCATAACCATGAAAAATGAAAGCAAAATAAAAAAATTAAACAGTTCTTATATGTGCCATTATATATATATATATATATATATATGGAACTAACAGCTACTCTAGGAATTAATTATGACCCAAATCATATATGAAAGGTGGGAAGAAGAGGTACAGGTGTGAAAAAAAAAAAAACAACCTCTCCTGAAGAATTTAAACTGGAACCCCCAGTCCCACACATAACATCTAAGAAGCACCAATATGACACAGCGACGACGATACTTACTAAGTATTATATATATGGCTTCCATCTTCGTTCTTGAAGCATCAGGCTCTCAAAAAAATTCTCTGGTGCTCAAAGTTGAGGCGTCATGCGGCTGATGACCTAACCGAAGCTCAAGATCTATTTCAATGTTCTCATTATCATTGCCGGCAAGCAAGGGATTACTGGGAAGTGATTCTGCAGACGTAGAAACGTGCATCAATGTTAATTACCTGCAGTGAATTTGTGATTATTGCTATAGTGTTGTAATTTATATATATAATAATATATCCTCACCAGAATCCCACTGAAACAAACCCTTGTCTTCCGAATTAGAAGGCTTATTATGAGGAGGAGGCTGGTCATCATCAGAAGTACAAGTACTAGGGTTCTTGACTGAGATGTCCAGAGAAAGCAAGTTTTCTTCAGATGATTGTTTCAGCTTTGCTCTGTCTCTCCTATGGATGTTCATGTGACCTCCTAGGGCTTGAGCATTTGAGAATCCCCTCTTGCAGAAGGCACACGTATAAGATCTGGCTCCAGCTTCATCTGCGCTCCATCTTATCTGCTCAGGTAACTTCTTTGTGTTCTGACGATTAAAATCCATCTTTTTTTTCTAACAGTAACACAAGTAGCTAGCTAGCAAGAGGAACAGAGATAAAATGAGAAAACAATTGATTTTTTTTTCCTCTAAAAAAAACTGGGGTACGGTCAACCAGGTTGATTTGTTACGATGGTGATGATGATATATAAATGAGATTGGAAACAACGGAAAGGCGTACATACATGCGCAATTGAAGTCTTGAAGTGTAGAAACCTGTTGTATTAATTAGTAAGAATATTTAAAATTAGTTTCATCTAATTTCATTCGAACAAATCCATTTAATTTAAGATTGACCATAATAGTTCTTTAAATTATTAGATTAATTGGGTACAAAAACTAGGAACGGTGGGAAAGTATTGAATAAAGTAATGCTTTTGTATCGTTTTGTACTCATTCAAGGATTCTGCAAGACATCTTGCTTTAGATTGCATGGAAAGTACAACAGGACTAAATAAGATTTTATATATTGTGCTGCTTTAGGCTCGGTGAAAAGCTAAATGATATTTTTGATTGGGGTTAAAAGTTAATTTGAAGAGTTAAAAACTCATGAATTAATTATTCATCCACCACCCACCACATAATGACAATTTCTAACAATTGGACCGGACCTAGTGTACATAGGTTTTTGATTGAAATGGTCGATCTGGTCCGATTTCCTGAATGTTGTTTTATATACTTTCAATGATGTATTCTATATCTTGAGGGTTTCATTATTGTCAACACTGGTGTCTTTGAGAATTAGTAGTTGTCAATTGAAATATTTAAGTATTTTTAATTTGTTACAACTGCAATATCAAATTATATAAGAGTATTTTACTCTAAAAGATAATATATTTGTAGTTTTCCATTTAATCTAAATGGAAAACGAAAAAGGTTTCTTAAAAACCTAATCTTTTTTAGACCTTTAGTTGTTGGCTACCAACAAGTATTGAGTCTAGCAAATGATACCAGTCTTTTATAACATAACAAACTAATGTTTGAATTCTTATTAGAAAAGATATTCACATTTTAATTAGTGTTCGACCTTGCTTTGACTATGATTATTTCAAATAAGAGGACACACATAAATAATAATAATAATAATAATAAGTCGCTTGCTAGATTATCCCTCAAGACATTTTTTTTAATAGACTTATCCCTAAAGACTTCAATTTAAATTCAAGTAATTAAATAAAAAAGTATGAGAGGAGGAAAAGTAACAGTCAAGCTATATGTCTGTTAGGCTTACTAAATGCGAAGATTGGTTGGCATTTGGGGGATCTTAAAAGATGCAAATTAAACAAAATCTAGAAGGGAAAAACATTCATGACAGCTTACGACAAAATTAATTTAAAGGACGTTTCTTCAAGGAAGATGGCACACAATGTAACTTTATGCCTTAGTTTGGATTGGAAAAGAAGAAAAAGAAATAAGGAAAAAATATTAATTAGGTGAATTTAAAAACAATAGTAAATTTTTTTTACCATTTTATATTTTCTTCTAATATTCCTTTCTTTTTATTTTTCTTCCTATTTAAACTAAGTGTGAATAATGTAAAAAGAGGTTGAGACCAACAATCGCTGAATAAAGTGAAAAGACTCGATTTTTTTTTTAAAATAAAAATCTTAGATATGATGAAGAAACTACTTTTTATTTGGAGTTATATAATAACTCCAAATATATAACAATATTGAATATTATATGACAATTAAAAGAAAATAGCCGTGAGCCAAATTTTTTTGTGAGAAGTTGTGGATTTAATCTTGCTTGTAATCTTAGACTTTTCATGCCTTTCCATCTAATTTTAAATAGAAAAAAGAAAAAGGCTGTGAGCTGATCTTTTTGGCAACAAGCTACGCAAATTAAACGACAAAGAAATGGATGTGTGAGCCAATTTTGAAATATGATATTGCAGTTGGAAATTTGGACTCTCTTGCCGCACTGAAGAGATCACTGCCATTCTTTTTATATATATAAAATTACAAAACTTCCCTCTTATTCTTAATTTGGACTTCTCTTATTTGTGCGGTTGTTTTTTTAAAAAAAAAATTATTGATGGGATAACGTTTACAGGCAAATCAAGCCAAATGGACGCACTTTGGGTTAATCAATTTACTTAATTAACTTTTTTTTTAGTCATGTTATAATCCATGTGAAATAAGAAACCTTATAGCCAAATGAAAAAAAAAAAAAAAAAACTAACGTGGATACAGTGTGCTTAAGTGATGGAATATGATAACTCACACTCACATATGCACATTTTTCACTAACGAGGAAAATATATGATGACATTTTTCCCACAAAAATTTATGCCTTAGAGGTGGACACTGGATAGTTTATATAATTTTTTTTTTTGTGTACAATTTATATTTAAATCTATATCTTCAAATTTTGGTACCAAAACGGCTTTCGATTTTTATCTCTAAGAAACTTTGGGCCCATTAATAATATCGTTGGGCTTCCTCTTGTCCAAAAGCCTTGACACTTATCAATTCTCTAATAAGAAAATTTAAGTGTTCAATAGAATTTTAATATGATGTCACCCAAAATAAATAAATATATCTCATGAAAAAATAAATAAAAATAGGTTTTTCCCCTGTATAAAATTTGATGGCTAAATTATACAATTTATATCTCGTTTATAGTGTGAATCTCTATAATATTTATTCTTTATATTAAATATATATCGATATATTGATGAATGCATATAACATATTCACAAAATAATATATGTTACGTAGTTGTATTTTCTTAGAACGTTTTCAATAAAAATTCTTTGAATTATTTTGTCCGTTAATCTAGATTAAGATTTTGCCCGTAGTTGTAAAGATATAGTTTCTACACTTATTTAAGATTGGAACTCCAATTAACAATCAAACGGAAAATTTAAGCTGAAAATCATTAGGCTAACCTTTTCTTCTGAATGTTTAATTATTATTTTGTTAAAAGAAGTGCTTAATTATTTGAAACAAGATATGTGAAGAATAATGAGTTGAAATTTTTAAACTCTTGTCCTTTGATCCTTGGACGGCTGTTGTGATAGTTTTTTTTAAATATATAATTAACGTGAAAAAGAAGAAGAAGAAGACAACATTCAAATAAAAGAAATAGCAGAGACTATGAATCCACCATATACTCTCTCTATTTTTATTTATAAAAAAAATTAATATTTTTAATTTGTTTTTTTATATAAGTAAAATCACACTTTTCAATAAACATTTATTGCAAAATTTTTAAGTTATCCCTCATAGTTTCATCCTTCATAGTCATAAAAAATAATTAATAAAAGATTGATTAACATAATTAATAAAGAATATTATAGTTTAATTTTTTTTATTTTCAGATGTAATTAATATAATTAATGAATTTTTTTAAATTGTGTCATATATATATTTTTATAAATAAAAATAAAGGGAATATAGTATTTGAGCATGAATAATATAATTACCTTCTTTGAAGATTTTGAGAAAAATTGACTGTCAACAGGCACATGCATCCAAAAAGGAGCATGCATCCCCACGAACTCAAACAATTTATAAATGTATAAGCAGTCTCATGATATCGAAAAAAAGAGAATCCCAGAGATCGACATGTCAGATGTTGAATTGGCATCAAAGATTCTACATCTTAATTATTCTCCGGTTTGTGTCTGCTAGTGCCTGCGTGTCTCGTGAAAGAGGAACTATTGTTTCCATGCAAACATACTCTTAGTTGTCATACATAAAAGGAATATATTCCCAAAACCCAATGTATACTCTGCAATTTCCCTTTCACAAAGTTGTTACCATTCTCTGATAATCATTTCCATTTTGAAATCACCAAAATGCTGCTCAACAATACTTCCCATGCAGACCCGTGAGAATCATAGTATCCCATACCTCCTTCTCTCTCTCTCTCACGTCTATGGGGATTTTTAATTTTTAATTGTATTTTTTTATTAAAAGTAATCAAGTTCAAAGCATGATGAGGCATTAGATGTGAGCACTATTCTTAAAGGTAATTCAAACGTTGATTAACTACATTTGATATTAATTTCTTCTGCTAAATCAAACTCCCTGTTGGTTCTTGACTTAGCTTCTTGCATGTAGAAATGTATAGAAGAAACTCATCAATATCAAGCACGATGACAAAAAATTCGGCCAAAAAACAAAGCACAGTGACAAAATTTAATTATGGTTCACGATCCACTGCTAAGTAAAATAAATATATATTAAATAGATATCACTATTATTGAAAACTAAATTTGTTAATTTTATCATAAAACAGATAATCTTGAAATATTAATTTGACTAATATATGAAGTTATATTTCAAATTAAATAAAAATGAAAATAATTTTTTAGGATGTTTTGAATTTGAATACTTTTTTAATTATTTCAAAAGGTGTATGTCTGTCTATATAATAGATGAAATTTAAAACTTAAAAGATATATCGTCTGGGCAAAAATAATTTATCTTATCATGTATAACGCCTTCCGAGTTCAAATAGAGAAACGACAGTTTCTTCCCATGTTCCATTTCCTGCCAAATTTTGAATTTTTTATTGGTTTTAAATTTGTCCTATATATCTTTAAAAATGGATCAGACATTGTTCTCATTAGACCCAACTCTATGAAAAATTACTAATGACACTGTCTGACGTATAGGTGGACAAAAATCTAGCTGGCTATAGAAAGATAAAATATATAGAAGTTATAGAACCAAAGACTACAAAAACTGAAAGTTCATGTGATTAAAGCTAAATGAAAGACTAGAAGTATGCGGTCTTGAAGCTGGCCTTTTTTTGTTTAATATTGTTAGGTTTGTCACCGAGTGGCTGCATGTATACACGTACGTCTAGAAGAAGAAATAAAAATTACATAAATTAAATAGGGCATCCGAAAATTTTGAGGGTATAATTTGTGATTGTAATTAGAGGCAAACTCTAGTATCATAGTGATCACTCTTGAATAATTGATTGCCGAGTAGGTGCAGCAAATTTTGGAGGCATTTAGAAGAGGAGATAAGGAAGAATAAAAATAAAGTGGGGGGGGGGGGAAGAGAGAGAGAGAGAGAGAGAGAAGAAACATGTGGATTTATGTGGAAGGGATAGCTAAGCAATAGATCTGGTGGGTGATATAATAAAATCAACAGAAAAGTGGATCAATGTTGGGATGTATCTGACTTCATATGGCTTTTGAAAAGATCAATATAATATCAGTGTGTGTTTTATGGGTCAGTTTACTTGTCTCTGATGGAATGTCTGAGATCTGAATGAAAAAGAGCTCACAAAATTCCAAGCGGTAGTTTTTGGAAGACTTCTTCCTTAACCCTAAATTAAACACCACACTCATAATTAATTGACCTAATCTGATCAATAGTTAAAAAGTTAAATCTAAACAAACAATCTCAGCCAACTAGTAAATGTTCAAGACATGGATTTGAAGTCAAGTCTTTAATTAATAACCGTTGATGCCCATGTGTGTGTGTGTGTGTGTAAATAGACACAGAATAATATGAAACATATTTGTCCTGTACGTGAAGCTGCTGGGCCTGTAGCTCAAGATGATTTGGAATGCATATTTGATGGCGAGATGAAAAACTGTGGATGTAATTTTACGCTCTAAAACTTGGAGCTTCAAACTAAAAGCAGTTCAAATGTGGATGTAATTTACCCTCTATAAAACTTTGAGCTTCAAACTAAAAGCAGTTCAAATGTGGTTGTAATTTACCCTCTAAAATTTTCAGCTTCAAAATAAAAGCAGTTCACACTCGTGTGTGTGTGTTTGTGTATATATATATCCAAGATTGAGGAAAACGGTAAAGGGAAGCATATTCAAAATTAGACAAATTTTTTTACATTTAGATTTGAATATATAACTTAACTTTCTTTCTGTCATATCATGCACTAAATTTCATGGAAGGGGCTAGAAGCCTAGAATGTCTGTTTGTTAAAAGTAACAGAGGGGCCATTGAGGAATATCATAATAATCATATCATGAGGAATTTATCCTCGTAAAGATCCAAGGACTCATCAATTTCACCATTCAATTTCATTATATTCTGTTATTATCAAATAAATAATGCTTTTTGCTGTCTAGGAAGACGAAGTTTACAAGCTTTGTCAACAATTATGATATAGTATAATCATCAAACGCTGCAGAGTTAACACCAGCTTTCAGGAGAAACCCATGAACCATGATCAAACTTGAGGAAAATTAAATCTTCTTTTGAGGTATGCATGATTAAAGCTAAGAAGAAAAGAGAAACAATTGGATATATCATTGTAAGAATAGCTTTGAACTATACCTTGGGAGGACTGTAACCAAGCCTTAGCTCCAGATCTAGCTCTTCACTGGAACTAGGACTAATAAACTCGAACATCTGAGACTTGATATGACCAGTCCTATTATCAACTGAACTTGATTTTGATGAGATCAATGGAATTAATGATGAAGCATCTGTTATTCTTCTCCTCTTGCATCTCATAATATCAGCTTCTTCTTTATTACAATCAGTATCTACTATCTTGGATATCTTATCATCCTTAGTTCCAATAAGATCGGTCTTTTGAGAATATAATCTTCGTTCAGCTGCAAGGTTTGACCAGGAAATACAAGAATCGTATGGCGGGGAATTCTCTTGAATCAAAGATGGAGGGGCTAGTTTAGCCTCAGAAGCAAGAATACGAAGATCATCAGAATTAGGGTTAGTGTTGGAATAAGCCAAGGAAGATGTGAAAGAATTTTGATGATCAAGACTGGTTTCATCCGTTTTGTGTGGACTTGGGGGTTGCTTTAGCCTAGCTCTATCTCTTCTGTGAACATTCATGTGGCCACCAAGAGCTTGGGCTGACCTGAACTCTCTGCTGCAAAAGCTGCAAGAGTATGATCTTGGAGGCCATATGCATCCACCAAAACGCTCATCTTCCGCAAAGGCTTGTTCTTCCCATGAATCGCCATAGGTCAAGTTGTGAGTATTATAAAAGCTCAAAGATGAGTGCTTTCTTTTGGTCCAAATCCAACATTGACCTTCTTCCATTGCAGCACTGCAGCTAGCTATAACAAATCAAACTTCAGGTAAAACTAGATTGATGAGATGATTTTGAGGAAGGGATTCTACAAGGTTGAGGATTTGAAAGCCTCCATGAAGTCTGTTTTGCTGTGTGGGATAGTGGAATCAATTTAATTTGTAAGGAGCGTGAAGGCGGTTGGTGTTTGGTACTGTACCTTGCATTTTTTTTTTTTTGGTTGAGATGGAACTGATGTTGTTTAAGTATAATGGCATCATGCAATATAAGTAATCGACCCATCTAGTGAGATAATGTTGGTTTGTTGTTGTTGTTAGATAAAGAAGATGGAACTGATAACTAAAACAAAAGGCTGCCTTGCAAATCTCAAAAGATTCATATTATTCAGAGGAAAATAAAAGGCAAAAAATTGAGTGCAAATATGAAATGTTAATTTCACAATAGAGTTATATCTTTTTATATCAAACATTTGAAATCTCATTATACAATGACATTCTTGTATGATGTTCTCTCCAAATACCAGAATGTAATAATCTTAGTAATTTACACTTAGCATTGGGGTCAGTGTAGGAACATGATTACAAAAGAGACAGTGGGCCTACCAAAAAATTACTAATCGGGAATCCCTTTAAAAATTAAGATTAACTATATAATCAGCATGAGCTTCAAGCTAAGCATAACTGCAATTGTTGACTCTGAAGCTGCCTAGCTATCTCCGTGCAGTGTTGTATATATAAGATAAAACCAAAGATTCAAATTCTAAAACATTTAAGTTGATAAGATATCTTAAAAATTGTAATTATTTTCAAAAAAAAGTTATATATACAGGATTTCTTATCAAGCTATAACAAAATTTCAACGAACATAATAATTTTCATAAAACTTGACCGTAGTAGTTTTTTCTTTATAAATCATTTAAATCTAATAATTTTTTAAAATGGCTAAGATTTTTAAGGTCAAGGTTCCTACAATACGTATAGTTTATTTAAATTAATCAATTCCCTGCATTTCTTGTGGGTTGATGGCCTGATGGATTAGAAAATTAATCACTGATGTGGGTCCCCTGAAAGCGTCTTAACCTACTAAGATGTGAGGTGGCTTCAGAGAACTCAGACTTAAGTGAAGAAATATGACTAAAATATATATATATATATATATACACATATTATTCAGAGAGAACAGTAATCGGCTGTTGGGGTCCTCATATCTATTTTCATTCAAAGAAAATTTTATATTAATTATTACAACTTAATTATATTGTTCGTTTCTGTACAGACAAAAAGCAATTATGTGACTAAATCCCATATGTTGAATAATCCCGTGAAAATTGTATGTTATCTCCAGTCCTATTTGTAGGCCAGATTTTAGAAGTAACTTTTGTTCTAAGATATAGAACACCTTTTTTTATTAGCGTGGAGATATTTAATATACTTATATCATGATTTAAAATTAAAGATAAAAATAAAAATACATTTCATTTTATATAATATCAAGAAAAAACTGACTTTTTTAAAAAACGTGAAACGGTTGAAAGTATCCTATAATAAATATCGGATGGAGTATTCTTGTACGACCAGTTATGTTAATTAATTACTTCTTAAATATACCACAGCGTCTTATATAAATTAATCAATTTGAGACTTCGACGACATTTCAATATTTCACATATGTTACCTAATCCCTATCAACATACATCATGGTCATCGTTTTCTTCTTTTTATTTTTATTTTTTGTAAAAAAATATTTACAAACGCAGAGAGGTGCCTCAGCCTTAGCATCTTATTTTCTCTATTTTCTAAAGCTGACAAAGTGAAAGGCGTGTTATTGACTAACTGGCACTAGTTTTAATTAATTGTTTAATTTTTTATTATTGTTACTAAGATCTTAAAACGGACCACATTTGCTCACATGAGGAGGGCTCTAGTGTATATATTCTTAGGAGTGAAAGTGAGCTAATAAATGAGCTTAAAGGAGAAATTGACTTGCGCATGAAACAAACCAATGCCTAGGCAATCGCACCTGACAATATCCAATTTACCTCCTACATGTGAGTTAAAGAGACATTGAATTCCTTTTATAGGAGTTATTTTGCAAAATGGTTATTAATTTATTTTAACATTGCTTATCCAGAAACCTTGGTTTATGGTTGTATTAATTTCAAACTTGAAGAGTCTCAGAAACGGTGGTCAAATTTAATTGTCCTTAAGCAAGCTTAATTGTTCTTTAATCATTAAACAAATTTCTTAAAGGTTTTTATTTTGCCAACGCTCCATTTATGGGATTTGATTTTATGATATTACTGAGTTAACACAAGTAAATGGCCACCCAACATTCATTTGGGTCTGTTCCTATATACATCAGAGCATGTAGTATATCTAGTTCCCAACTCTTAAGCTTTCTAGTCACTTCTTCACTCCTCCTCTATACTGTTGTGGTTGGCTGATTATATTATTCTACTTGTATCTGTTGTTCTATGTTGTTGTTTCACTTTTGAAACCATTCCCAAACATTTCCAAGATAGAGATGTTCAATGGCAAAAATTTCAAACTCTGCCAGGAATGAATTTTCATCGTTCTTGTTTTGCATGGTGTAGTTGTTGCTCTTACTCAAGCCAAACCCCCTGTTGATGCATACCAAGCTCATAGAAATGCTTGGACACATGCAAATAAGATATGTTCAATGTCTACTACATACACAAGGAAGCTAGCAAAATATAGGAATCACTCATGACAAAGTATACTATTGAGGATGCTGGGAAGCAAAAATTTATGGTTAGCAATTTTTATAGATGGGAGATTATTAAGGACAAAGATGTGAAGGAATGGATAAATGTATATCACAAGTTGTTGGAGGAGCTTCATGCTAAGAACATCAATCCACTAGTTGAATTCATAGTTGGGATCCTTATCGAGAAACTACTAAAGTCATGGAACGACTATAAGCAACAACCGAAACACAAGTAAAAGTAGCTATATCTGACTGATCTAATCACTCATATCATTATTGAAGACACCAATCGAAAGGCTGTTCATGCAGCTAGAGGTAAAGAGATTACATTCAAAGCTATTCTAGTGGAGACAAAATCTCACGACAAGAGTTATGACTCTAAAAATAAAGATAAGAACAAGAGTAAAAAATCTAATTACAAACCAATTCTTTTAACCCCTCTTTTAAGAAAAAAGAAGAATGTTTTATTTGTGGGAAACCATGTCATTATGCAGCATAGTGCAAAAAGAGAGTCAAGTACAAATTTGGTTTAAGAAGATGATGACATCATTGTTGTGGTGGTGTCCTAAGCTCTCTTGATTTCTGATGTGAAGAAATGAGTGCTAGACTTCAGGGCTACTAGGTACATTTGTGCTTGTACCACCCTCATTTTTTTAAAACATTTTTCTTAAATCATTAACATATGAACTTTCAAGATTAAATATTGGGATTCCAAAGATATAGACAAATGGCTCTAGGACATTCAAAGCCGAAACTATCTTTATATCATAAGTCAAATAACATGACAAATTATCTTAAAAATATTTTGATATTATATTGGGGCTTAACCCACATGTCAACGACTATTCAATTTAAATCCTCATGATGAAATTAACTTAAACATTTCTTTTAAAGTATAATTCAAATTTCTCAAAAGTTATTGAAATCCAATCCAAGTGAATAATAAATCCTCCTAGATCATGGCAAAATATTAACAGAGAAATGACATGTGCCAAGCCATCAAACGAAGCTCAAAGGCTCAATTCTCTAGTGCCTTTCCTTGTGCCCTACCGTTACCCTCACCTAAAAAATGTAAGAGGTAACATTGGTTATTTTTTTATACGAAAAAGCTATTATTTATATTATTATATATATACATATAAATTGGTCTAGGAATATTGTGCCCATTGAGGGCTCATTTGATTCATCCTAGATTGAAAATGTATCTTTGAAACTGTTTAACATGCTTGGGTATGTAGTATTTGAACTTATATATTATTTTGTTCCTTTTCAAGCAACTAGTTTATACTATTTAATGAATTGTATCATGAAAATGGTTAGTTATGATTATTCAAATCCTGTCAGGTATGCTTGTGAATATTTGAAATATTATAAGAAATATGTTTTACTCTTTTCGAGCATGATTATGTGTGTTGGAACCTTATGGATTGTGGTAGATATTTTGGAGATTTTGTTGTTATTTTGGCCACATGGTAAGTTACATGAAGAATCTCATAGTTGGCATTTCTTGTTAAGGCCCCTTTCTCCTGTCTGGGACTCAGACGGTGGGATATTAGGCACCTCCTTTTTAACAAGAGAAGTCTAGTCTTACAAGCAATATGCTTTTGGTCGAGCGTATTTCTCAAAGCTAAATTTTGGCTAGCAGGATACTCCCTCCAATCCTATTTATAGGGTATAGAGAGAAGTTTTTTTATCCTATTTATAAATCACATCATTAAATTTTTATCACAAATTACTCCTTTTACCTTCTATTGAATGTTGGAGAGAAAAAATATATTGTTAAAGTATATATATTTAATAGAGATAAATTTGAAAACTTTTTAAATTTTTAAACAGAGTTATGAGTTTTAAGATTTTTCTTAATTTTGATAAAATATGTTAAAAGTGACTTATAAATAGAACCATAAAAGTAAGGTGGATAGGAGGCATAAGGGAAGGTCTGGGATAGCATCACTCATTTGTATGATTTTTTTATTATATACTTTTGGTTTATGAAAACAACATATCTTGCTTTGTGAACTTATTTATGAACCAGCATTACGAAAGATATTATGTATGTAAACAAGAATATTATGAAATGAGATTTTGAACTGGTTTGCTAGTATATTTAAAAATGCCATATGTCACTAAGACATTTGGTCTCACATGTTACCTCTTACATTTCTTAGCTGAGGGTAGGGGTGTTTAGTCTGGACCCGTCCCGATTAGCCCGGTATCGTCCCGGTCTGAAAATAATTGGGATGGGACTTTACAGGACGAGACAGGAAAGGGGGTTCGAGACGGGATAGGACACGGGATTACCATCAAGACGTCCCGTCCTGTCCCAAATATTATGTTTATTATTTTTTATTTTAAATATATGAATTATATTAATATAATTTATACTTATATTAATTATATCAATTATAATTTTAATACTTGCAATTCTTATTTAAAACTAAAGTTTTTTTATGTTGATAATTTTAATGACATGGAGTAAACATGGCGATATCTTTCTTTATAATATACTAATTATATTAATATAATTTATTTTTATATCTATCTA